GCTAAAGTCTGAAGTCAACTTGGGCTACACAGCAAAACCCTGTCTCAGAAAAGAGAGGAGACCATGAGTTGTCCCTGCCTAATCAGCCAGGACCTTGATCTTGAACTTCCTGAGCCCCAGAACTGTGAGAAATAAGTATCTTCTGCTAGAGCCACACTGTCTGACAGGGATCCAGAACCTTCCTCTGTCTACGGGAGATTAATAACCACATCTATTGCCCTCCTTTCTTTATCTTCCAACTGACCAACAATGAATAAACTCCTACTCACAATTCACTAGAAGACTTAGGACTCAAATGAGAAATGTTTACACCTCTGCCATGCACATGTACTTGATCCCCAGCTGGTGGCGCTGTTTTGAAAGGTTGTAAAACCTTTGCAATTGTAGTGTCTTGCTGGGGGTAGGGGTGGGGATGAGGGCAGGGGTGGGCTTGAAGGTGATATGCTAGAAGCTCTCTCTCTCTCTTTCTGCTTGTGGATCTACCAAGACGTGAACAAGACATACCACAAGCTCCCATCACCACAGAGAAAGTCCTCTCAGCTTGCCACACCATCTCAGCCATGATGGATTGTCCTCCCTGATACTATGAGCTGAAGTAAGGGTTTCCTTTCTTAAGTTGCTTCCGGCAGGTATTTTGTCACAGTGATGAGAAAATTTACTAATATACCTATATTTCAAGGCAAGTATTTTCAGTTCCTTCAGGTAGGAAAACGATGCTCTTTTGAAGGTGCCTGCTCTGGTGATGGGGGGCTTCGGGGGCTGGGGCTGGGGCAGTCCACCCAACCCTGTCTACAGCACCCTGAGCGCTGATGGAGACAGAACTGTATACCAGGAAGGGGATGCTGAAACTTGGGAAGGATGCACAGTGTTTATAATTTTGCTCTGCAAATCCATAGCTTGGGGCCACTTCAGCCCTGACTCTTCTCTGTTCCCCTTCATTTCGCTTCTGGATCATGCAATGTCCCATTCTTGGGCTCCTGTTTCCACTTTCTCGACTCCAGCTGAACAGCCATGGGAGTGGGGGTCACAGCTGTGGGTGGAACCCTGTGACCGGAGCAGCAGCCACCCAAGGTGACAGTGGAAGATTCTGTCTGTGCCTCCAGGGTGTCCCCGCTGGTCCCCGACACCACTCAGTTCTGGTGGAGCACACAGACTGATCCTGTAACTGAACACTCTGTTCTAGCTCTGGTTACACTAGAGATTGAAATAGAAATTTTAAAAAAAAAATTACACAGTAACAACATCAAAAAGCTGACTCTGCCTGACCCATCCTGAGTTCTGGGCCTGTGGAAGGGGACAGATGCTGGGTCTGGTGTCTAATGCTGGCAGTAATGGAGAAGGTGACCCTGAGGTAGCAAAGATCTCCCCGCCACTTTCTGCCCCAGCCATCATCTTCCTCCTGGACAGAGCGGTATGACCCTCTGATAGGACATCTCCCCGGCAGGTAACACCCTCTCTCTAAGCATGTATGGTGAAGAGATAGTCCTGTGTTTCACGGATGCTTTCCTGAGAGGAAAACACACCCGTGAGAAGGTGTACCCCTGTGCAGAGGCCAGATGGCAGCCTCAGCTGTCAACCCCTGGTGCTGTACACCTTGTCTTTTTTAAGATTATATCACCAGGACCTGTCTTCCTCTCCCTAGCACTGGACTTACACATGAGCACCACCTGCCTGGTATTTTTGTGAGGTGGGTTCTGGGGGAGGGTAAAGCACTCAGGTCCTCCCGTTGGGAAGCCAAACGCTCTACCCAGGGAACTATCTTCCTAGCCCCTTTGAATCTTTCTAACTATTCCATGGTCACCAAGAATGAGAGTTTGGTGCAAGTGACTTTCCCAGAAAGGAGCTCCTCGAAAAGGGGCAAGCTTCCCACAGCAAAACTGATAAGAAGGAAACCACCTCCCTGGATTTGCATTGGCCAAAGCCCCAAAGCCTGAAGCCTCTCTCTATTCCAGATGGATGGCAGCTGATTGGCTGAGAGCTTCAGGTGAGGGCCTTCTCTTAACCAGGCAGGCATGGAAGACTGCCAATAAAGACCAGAGAACACCCTCCCCTTTCCTCAGCCCATCCTGGGAATAAAGCGTCTAGATTGGTAGGGATACACCTATGCAAAACGTTTGCTCTTAGGAAGAGCACAGGTGCTATTTGGGGCCAGAGCATCAGTCAGCTCAGACTCTTGCAGTTATGATCCTGGGCTCTGGACCCAAATGGAGGAATCCACCACGGTTTCAGGCGACTGGTACCCACATTAACTCCAGCCCAAGGGCACAGACAGCCTCTCAGCTGCTCGCTTGCTGGTTCAGAAGCAGTTGCTGCAAAACTGACTCTCAGGCCCCCTCTGTGAGCAAGCTGTGCAACAACACCCTAAAGAACAGCTGTTCCTGATGGACTGGGCAGAGCCTGAGCTCTCAAGTGTGCAGTTCGGAGTCTGGGGGATGGGGTGGGCAGGATCTGTGCTTCTCGGTGATGGGCGGAGCCTGACCACCCAGCAAGAGAAGAGCGCTGCCACATTGAGGCTGCCTGGCCCCAGAGTCACTCTTCACTCAAAAATCAGTCAGACAACAAACCTTGGGCCTGGACTGAGCACAAACAGGCAGGGAGAAAGAGGCAAAAACACTGTTTGAAGTGGACGAATGAAAAGCAGAAGAAAGGCAGGCTAGTTTTTCATCTGTTGTCACTAAACGCTCACAGCTGTTCTTCCAAGGCAGGTAAGGAGAGAACAGAAGAGCAACGAGATGTGTGCAGTGGCTGTGTCCATTGCACAACCCTGGGAGCAAGGAGGATGGGCCAGAGCCCTCAAAGTCAGTGAGATGCCTGAAGGGCAAAGACCAGAAAAAGGAAGACAGCAGGGGCGTGGCTCAGAAGAGTGGCCCGAAGGGATGAAGGGGAAAGCTGGCAAAGGTGAAGGGTCTCACTCCTTCCTTTTACAGACGAAATACTAAGTTTGCACGGCCGCCTTCTTCCAGAAGGCTCAGTGCCAGGGACTACAGTCTTTTAGGGAACCCATGGAAATGCTTTAATTTCTGTTAAAATCAGGGGAGAAATTAAATGAACTTTTAAATGAAAGAAAAGGTTTTAATATGTAGTAATATATTTGTTTTTATGCCAAAACGGCCGAAAATATTACTTTTAATATTTTCAGTGGAGGAAGGAGCCCACGGAGGTAGAGGCGACTGTCGCCTGTTGAGGGCAGTGGTTAAAGGGGTATTAACAGCTCCTGGGCTTCCCACGCAGGAAGGCACATTCTGCTGTCTTCCCTGGGTCACAAGCGAGGACGGACCCTCTGGCTCTCTCCATTGTGTCTCCACTGCTAAAGTGCCTTTAAAAGGGGAGCTCAGGAGAAGAGAGAAGAAACAAAAACTTCACTTTCTCAGCCTTCTGCGAGTCCCAGGCTTCTCCTTTATCTTGCTCTCCTTCCTGAACGGTTCCAGACTTTTTAAGAGTCTGACTGACCTGGGAAGGAAAAACTAGAATCAACCGACACACACATACACACATACACACATACACACATACACACATACACACATACACACATACACACACACACACACACACACACACACACACACACACACACACACACCCTTCCCAAACTGTCCTGCCCTGTCAAGTCAAGGGGTGTTGGGGACTCCGGCCTATGGAAGACCTGGATGAGGCCTTCCAGGGAGGGAGGGAGGGAGGAAGGGAGAGAAAGAGAGGGAGCGCTGAACCTGGGAGATCGGGCCGGAGAGAGAGCAGCACGCTCGCCGACCGTACTACTGCCCTCCGGTGGGTCCCGGAGTCGCCGGGAGCCCGCGGCCGCGCACACGGATTGGGTTTCTGCGGGGCTCGCTCCCGGGCCTGGCTCCGAGCCGCCGCCGCCCCCTCCCTGCGCGCAGGCTGCGCTCCAGTCGCGGCCACGGGGTAGCGCTCGGCCCCCCTCTCCGCGTCTCCGCCTCCGCCGCGCTCGTCCCCGGCTCCCGCTGCCCCCGCAGCTCCGGCTCGGCGCAGGCAGACTCTCAGGCTCGGCAGCAGAGCGGCTCTTAGGACGCTGAGCCCGGGCAGCCCAGGGCTCCGGGCTTCGCGAGCCAGCGGCTCCCGAGGTGGGCGAGCGACAGGCGCGGCCGAGGAGCCAGAAGGGCCGCGGAGACTCCGGTCCTCGCGCTGGGCGAAAACGCCGGGCGGCCGAGGCGGCGCGGAAACCCCGGAACCTGAGGCTGCCGGCCGAGCTTTTCCCGTGCGACTAGCGGGGAGCTCCAGGCGGGGCGCGGCGGAGAGCAGGACCTGCTGGTCTCCTCCACCAGATCGCCCGCAAGAGGCTCCGCACCCCGGGCGCTGGCTAGAACCCGGGCCGCCCAGCCGGGTACCGAAGCCGGGCATCCATCGCCGCCCGCAGCTGGCGCAGACATGGGCGCACGGGGCTGCGCGTCGGGCCGCGGGACCCGCAAAGTTTGCTAGCCTAATGGGCGCGGAGCTGAGGGCGAGCTCGGCACCAAAGCCCCCAGGGAGGTACCCCGATATCTCTTAATTGGGCGCGAGGACCGCGGAGCTAAGAAGGGTGGCTCGGTCCAGCCAGGTGCCGCCTGCAAAGTTAGAAGAAAACTTTGGCTCCAGGGAGACTCGGACCGTTATGCTAACCGCGCCCCCCGAACCCGGGGCCCCCTCTGAAAGACACTCAGCACCCGCGCCTGCTGCTGCGTTCTGCTCGCATCCAGTCCCGGGGGCAGGGCGCCTGGAACCACGGTGACTACGTCGGCCAGGGAGAACCCAACCAGGGGGCGGGGAGGGGCGGGAGGCGGGCAACGTGGCCATCGGGAGGAAGTTTCCTGAAGTTGTCCTCTCATTCGGGAGCTCGGCCAGCAACCAGGCCGGATCGCAGGGGTCGCTCTGCCTGCGAGAAGTAGTGGGAGTCAGAGTGCCTAAGAGATGCAGGCGCCTCGACTTTGAAAGGAGACTTGGCCTCTTTCTGCTCTCCCCTCGCCTTGCGGAGCAGCCAGCGCAGAAGAAGAAGAAGCTTTAGGGTCGCCAGCGCGGTCCCTCCGGGCATAACGTCCCGGGCTCGGCCACACAGTCTCCTGGGACGAAGGCGCGGGGTACCAGGACCCCACAGGATTATAAAGCAAGTGGCAACGAGGGTGCACCTTAGAGGACCCCTCAGCCAGGATGGCCAGCATGCGGAGGCTGCTGATCTGGACTCTACTGGCCCTGCATAGGATCCACTCGGCCGGAGCCCAAGGTACAGTACGGGTGACTCTCTCCACGTGGGACTGGGGAACGGGTTCTGTTGGGCTGGAAAAGGGTGCCCCCTAAGACGCCATGCTTAGCCCAGGCTGAGCCATCTCCTGGGATTCTCAACACTCCCTCCTTCGACTTTTGGGGCTCTCTTTGGGGCGGGGCAGTGTCTTCTGGCCTTTCTTGGTTGGGATAGTGAGGTCGCTGGGAGGAGGGAGGAGAGGGGGGTGTGTGGAGACGCACCTAAGGTGTGATGGCAGGGGGTTTCGTGGGTGTCCTCTGGCCGCGATAGGAGGGGCGCGTCACCCCATGTCCTGGCTTCACTGAACTCCCTACGCTCTGGGTCCTGTTCAGCGTCCTAAAGGAAAGGCGAGACCGCGTCAGGCAAGCACTGGGTGCCCCGGGGCGAGAAGATGGGGCAGGCAGAAGCAAGGAAGAAGCAGTAATGGGACTCGGGTGCCTGCTTGGTTTCCCCTCAAGAGCAGTCACTCTGTTTGGCCACGTATGGGAGCCCGCGCCTAGCTGCCTGGCCGGCGTGTTGGCGGCTTGGGCCTGGAGAGGAGCGGTGGGGATAGCGGCAGACCTAACCCACTCTCCAGACACACCCAGCGGGCAGCCCCTGGCTCCAGCTCCCACAGCTAGCTGGATGTTGGGCCACTGCTGCTTTGATCTAGGGCTGGTTGCCCAGAGCAGCCAGGCTGGCGGTGAAGGGGCTAGTGGGTGTGGAGTGGGTGTGTTTGAAAGGAGGTGTGATGGGGCTGTCTCTCCCTGCCTCCTGCGGCGGATGCCTAGCAGTCTCCCGGGTCCCCTGGAGGGTCGTGGTAGGGTAGGGCGGCTGCACAGGAGCTGTCTTGCGTTTGGGGTTCGAGGATCCAGGTGGTGGTGGCAGCGGTGGCCGAGCGGCGCCTGCTGGGGGCAGAGGGAGAAGACTGAAACCCCAGAATCGCCGTTTTTGGCCTTAGATTTCTGTTGGTTTTCCGGACTCACAGGGAAGCCAGACCTACCCAAGAACCAGGCTGGGAGAGACTGGGGTGGAGGCACTGCAACCCCCCTACAGAGCCTTTCTCCACATCTGGGGTCCCAGAGCCTAGGAAAGAAGGGACCCCCACTGTGCCTCGAGTCAGGCAATCATCAGAGCCAACATAGGAGATAAAAATGATCGGTTGTGTCTCGAAGGGTTGAGGGGGAAGGCTTTACACGGCAATTTAGGTAAAAAGCACTTCGAAATTTTCTAACGAGCTCCATAAATGTAAGGCAATAAAAGTTATTATTTTTATAGTCACTGTAAAACCTTCCAGTAGGCAGGGACCTCAGAGGTCATCACATTCTAGTAGCCTTTTAACAGATGGGGAAACTGAGGCCCTTTGCAATGAACCACCGACTTGCCCAAGACCACTCTGATATGTGGGCGGGAGTTCGGAGCCTGGCTCTGCTACCAGGACCCCTTGTAGCTGGGGCCTCTTGTCTAGGGTGAGATTTGGTGGAGGCCCAGGGCAGTGGCCCTGGCAGAGTGGTCCGTCCTCCACTCTGGGTACCTGGTGAGTTTGTTTTGGGATGGCCATAGAGAGGTTTCTAAGGGGGTAGGTAGCAAGGTGAGGGACCTTCTAGCCCACTTCTGTGCAGTCTCCCACCAGGACCAAGCCCTGGAGGAGTTTCCAGGACACCTTCTTTCAGTGTCCTCATGTCCCACCCACCTCCCCCCCCCCCTGAGGCCAAGATGTTAGTGTCCACTGACGTTCTGGCCTCCCAGAGGAGCTCCAGCATCCTGTGGGGGTCATAGAAGCCCTTTCCTGGCAGTTGCTCTGTCTCCCCCCACTCCTGCTCGCTGTTTTCTCTTAATGGGGTGGGAGGGGTGCCCAGGCCCCTTCTGCTCTGACCATGCTCTCTGGCTCTAAGGATGTTTGCCAGCACTCCTTCCATTTGTCTCCCTGCAGAGGATTATGGGAAGACAATCGCTGAACTCTACGTTGGAGGCAATGCTGGGTTTGCCGCCTTAGGGGTGAGGTTAGGGCGCAGGGTCATTATTTTATTTTATTTTATCTGCTTTGAAGCATTAGTCCTTTGAGGACAGTTAAAACGGCCAGCACCGCCTCTGAGCCCACGAGGTCCATTCTGCAGACGTGACACACACGGACACCCAGCAGCTGCTCCTCCTCTGAGACAAGTGCCCAGTGGCCCCTACTGTGGGATACTATGGAGATTTTTTTCCAGGTGCTGGACTAAAGCTACATTACCTAGTTGTACTAAAAACTATCACTTGGCCATTTCTCCCAAAAATCGATCTTACATCATCTCTGCTCCTTTCCCAGACAAAATGCAATGATAGTATAGAGAGAACTATCGTTCCCAAACCAGGAAGCAATGGTTTTCATGATCTGGTAAAGGCAGCTGCACAGACATTTCTGCAAGACTCTTAGCCACTGGAAGCCTCACTCAGTTTCCATGTCCATACTTTGGGAATACCATCTCCCTCTTTGCATACTTGACATGGTTACAACTATTCAAGGGAGAGGCCCCAGCAAGTCCTTTACACACAGGAGCTGGAAACTTCCTTCTGTGACCACCTTCTTATTTCCTGGAGTGGCCCTCAATGCTCTGAGCACCCAGGAGCGAGTCACATGTAGCTTTCCACCATTCTTCAGGAGCTGGGGTTGGAAGGCCTTGGTGAGCCTGACAGCCTGCATTTTACAGAGTGCTTTGGAGGCTTTTCATGTGCTGTGAGCTCGGCCATTGCTAGAAGGCATCCTGGTCTGCCCAAGCAGCAGGAAGAGGGCAGGAGCTGCCAAAGCAGTCATTCTAGCAGGTTCTTTTTCAAAAGAATTGCACCTGGGGGGGAAACAAGAGGACACTGCAACTGAATGATCCAGACTGTGGGGAAACCCTGACGGAGGCCTGGAAACGCCAATCCGGAAGCTCCTGGAGGGCCCCAAAGGGAGAAAGTTTAGTGCTGGGAGCTAATCACGATAAAAGCCAAACAGCACACGGGGGAATGGGATGAATGTTTAATTACATGGTGTGGCTAAGCTGTAATTATTAATTACTGACAGCAAAAAATAACTTATTGATCAGGGCCTCTTGCTAATTACCAGGAGGCCCCAGAGTCATGCTTGCCTGGGGCTCAGCTGTCAGAAGCTGCACACAGCAAGCGTGTGGCGTAGGAAATGGTCCTGCTTCTGCTTCTTTCTCCCTATCCCCTTCTCTTCTACCCACGTCTCTCTCACCCTGAGTACCTCTTGACGTCAGCTGGGAGGGTCTGGAACATTGACATATGGTGAAGTGAGCGATGGGGTTGGGTTCTTGCTACCAGTGGCTACAGAAGTCCCCTTTTTTGGGGCGGGGTCACTCGGGACCCCAGAGCCGGAGGCCATATCATGCAGGCAGCATGTACCTGCTGGGGGAATTCTCTCATGCACTGTTTGGCAAATACCTATCGACCACCTCTCCCCCATGTCCTCTACTGGGAGGCTGGAGTAGGGGCCAGCAACCTCATTCCATCAGGGAAAGGGGGCTGGGAAGGAGGCCAAATCCTTTACAGCAGACCTGCATTTAAGTGGGACCTCAGCTTTAAGATGGTGTGTTAAGCTGTATATTGGAACGTATTTGACCTTGTTTCCTAGGACCCAGTCAGATGTAAGCAAAGGAGAGAGGAAATGGGACTGTCTCCTCTCCTTGGGGTTCAAAGAATACCCGGGGAGTTATCCGAAGCTGCCCTCTGCCTACAAATCTAGGATTAGCGGCCCTGTGGTCAGCTTCCATACCCTCAGTGATGGAGGGCTCACTACCTTATACCAGCTGGCTGTTAGACATTGCCTCATGCATGTTGATGAAGGAATTGGCTAGTACATTGTTGGTTACCCTAGAACTTAATGGGTTCCCTGCTTGGCAGGAAGCCCATTTCCTGACTCTTGGCCCCTTGGGGAGTGGGGAGCTGGAGCTGGAATTGACATTGGGTCGCTGAGCGGCTGTGGGTTATCCACTTTAGATTCCCCATCCCCAGTACATTTGTGCAAAGGCCCCTGGAGCTCCCTGAGTGGTAAGAATTAGTCATTGTAATTTGGGGCCTTGGGATGCCAATAGCAACAAATGGGCCAGCAGCAGAGCGGTCTACTGCCTGTAATGGAAAGGAAAACAAGCCAGTTGCCGAGACATCCCTGGTTACATACTGCTTACCAGCCCCTGCTGTCCATATGCTGGGAAGAGACAGAGCCAGGGAGGCTTGCTGGAGTGTGAACCAGGCTATGACTGAGCCAGGAGCCTGGCAAAGCCCTCCTGATGTGGGGGAGTCCCCAGCTTGGGTCTGCCCCTTCAGCCCCCACTTCTGTCACAGCGTGATACTGAACTGAGCCTGCTTCCTCATCTCTGAGGTGAGGGGATGAAGTGCACCATCTAGCTAGCTGCTTGTGGTGGGTTTGGGTGGTGAAGTAAGATTATCCAGAGAACCTTGTAGATGCTCTTGATAAACCGCAGAGGCTTTGCATGCTCTGATCACATGGCTACACAGATGGCCGAGTCCCTCCCTCACCATGTCATCTCCACGCATTCCCTCACGTATCTGTCTGTACAGACCCACCTGTTCTCCTGAGAGGGCTCAGTGAGCCAACCTCTAACTCTCTCTAGCGTTTGTGTAGTTACTTTCTGACTGCTACTTTCCTCAGGACCCTCGCTGACGTCCCTTGCCCGTGTCTGCCCACCTGTGCTGCGGCATCTCAGAGCAGGCACTGCTGTCTCTCTGTCCTTCCTTCTTCAGAGCATCTGCCCCCCATTGCATTGGCATGCTGCACAGTCTTTCTCTCTTGTGTTTTTCCGAATGCCCAGCCTCAGTGGCAGTGCCTGGTGCACAGAGGCTCAACAAATATGAATGAATGAATCAATCAATCAGTCGACGAACCAATGAATCAATGATGCTTCCTCTTGCCACCTGGCCCTGTCCACATCTCCAGCTTCCAGTCTCGAACAGATAACTGCCTTCTAAAGTGTCTGTGGTCTCCTTTGTTCTGTGGAGAC